AATTTTCTTTTTCTTTTTTTATGTTATAGTTCGGCAAACGAGCAGACGGATTACCTGATGGTTAGCAATCAGCCATGCATGCATGCCATGCAAGCCATGGACACCCGCAACGGAGGAGTTACGAGTGCGTTGCCGATCTTTTGGGGATAAGGGATTTGGAGACTCAGGGTTTGAAGAGGGATTGAGAGAAGGGAAGGATTGGGCCTTCGGTAACCTCACTCACACGGCGAAACACAACACTGTGGTTGTTTCACGCCGGTTTTCTGTGAGGCCGTGGTATCACTCCGGTCGAGCCGACCCATTCGTGCCGAAGCATGGCTCTCCCACACTTAAAAACTAAGATCGATTCAGGGATGTTACATTGAGACTGGTTTTTAATAGAATAAGCAGATATGTGGCTTCATATCGGCAACTGTCCTACGGACTTCCATAATTAGGGGAACCAATCAATGAACGTATTATTAAAATATGAGACTCCTTGCTAATTTTGGTAACAGAAAAAACACATGAATGTCAAGCCTATAAAAATCATAGCCAGTACACGTACAAGCTAAAATGTCTAACAAAGACAAAAAAAAAACTAAGTGATTTTTTCCCTAACAATATTTTGTCACACCATCCAATATTGCGAGTCAGCACTCTCGCGAAGGTGTCAGGTTCGAGTCCCGGTAACGTGACACGCTTGTCGGGAACTACTTCCGTTAGCTTTCACGTCCGGTCGAAGTTTGAAGGTAGGTAGATGTCTTTTATAAATATACAATATAAATACCGTGTGATAGGATCAAGATTTGTGTGACTGTGACATTGGACGCCATTTTGTATAGATTAGAGAGTAATTTACTAGCGATACGCTTTGTATTTATAAATGGGATTATTTGAAACCCTTTTAAATCGACGCTATCAATTCAACAGATCTCAGACAGTATAAAATGTCTTAAACATAATGTAACTAGAGCGAGTAGGTATTTTCTTCTTGAGAGATTTTACAAGTCTAGTGTCAAAATGAATACTTTCCAGAATTATATTTGATACTCAAATCGATTAAAAATAATGTTATATTGATATCACATTTAAAAACATTTAATAATGAGAGTCTTAGCATTACAAATAAACATAACACAGTTGAGGAAAGCTACCCAATGATAGGTTTCTCTGGCAAACTTAATTTTCATATGCCATGAAAAGTTTCTGTTTCTTCGGCAATAAGTTCAAGCCCATTTCCAATAAAACTACGAACAATTCTATCTACCCCAAAAACCAGACAGCGGGAAGAATAATAATTATGCGTCCGCGCACCCCAAGTCACCGCGGCACAGAAGGACCGCATTATATTATCATTAGAGTTATTATATCCGTGTGTCTGTTCGTTTGATCGACTTCATAACTACGTCTATTGGTACGCAAACTGAATATTTATTATTATATATAATAGTGCTTAGCATTGGAACTGAATTCGGTGGCCGAATAGGAGGCCGCGTGGGTTTGTGCTAGATTTTAATGTGTCTGGATTTATTGCTAGAACTAATGTTGTGTAATTACTAACGATTTTGGTCTTTTAAAGCGAAAAGTATATATATCATTGATTTGAATGATAATTTCGTTTCGAGATTTACAGTTTGGAACGTTATATTTTAAGTTAATTAAACCAAATAAGTACTGCGCATCAAAGGACCAAGTTAGGACCAAACAAAGAAAAGCTAAAAAAATTTAAAACCAATCGCTGGAAGACAGTGCCAACAAAAGGACATTGCAGGTAAATTTCAAACTAAGCTATTTAAAGTGGAAATGAAAGAAAATTGAATAACGCAACGAAAGCTATTCTACGAAACGTACAATTCAAATTGGTCCTAACACTATATCCTATATTATATTATATCGTCTCGTATCGTAACACTATATCCTATATTATATATATATTATATCGTATCCTATATTATAATATAATTGACACAACCTTATGTCACTTCACCGATATATCCAACCGCTATACTTAAACAATAAAAAATGCATCGTCATTTGACACGTCTTTTAATTATATCAACTTGACGACTTTCATCGATTTTTTCGCGACATCGCATCGTATGAATAATGAATATCGCGAAGAAGGACTGACGTGGCTCCTGCCTAGTTGTGGAGCTATGGAAATTTGTCACAGACTAGTAATTTTCTAGTATTATTGTCTAGTAATTAGGGTTCGCTGTGCGCTGTGGAAAAATATATGTGCTTTAAAGCGCATTGAGCTAGTATTCTACTATTTCAAGCCTTTGTGGATCATGACATGACAGCGTCTAAGTGAAATATAATTTTGTACTATCTCCATTCTTCCAACGATTGTTTTAAGAGACGACTAAGGCACTACGAATGATAAAGATTATTGATTTTCCAGCCATGAAAAAATTGACTATTTTTAAATTTGAGTAATTAATATTATAAAAGCGAACGTTAATATGGATGTATGTATCCATGTATGTTTGTTTGTTCCTCAATCAAGCAAAAACTACTAAATGCATTAGAATGAAATTTGGCACTGAGATAGATTATAGTCTGGAAAAACACATAGCATATTAGTATCTAGGTAACACAGATGCAGCTGTTAGCAGGAATAAGTCTGTTCTAGGACTAAGTGACGAATTGAATGCCAAGTTGTTTGTTGTTTGGTATTTTTGGGTGGGGTTCAATCTAAGGTTTATATCGATTGTATTGATACTGAGTTTGTTTCGGCATTGTCTCAGAATAGTCGGATAGGGAATGCCAGCTTCTTGACGTGTAAAAGTGCTGTTTTATGGCCTATTTACAAAAATAAATTCATTGTTTCATTGTTTGACAAACTGATCAATATGGTGCATTTGAAATATCTTTATGTTGTCTTTAAGTAGGTATCAGGCACGTTTAGGGCCTTAGGGCTAGTTTCTTCAACATTTTGCTGTATAGCAGATAATTATGAACTTAGAACGCAATTTTATGACCTATCTGCGACATTGGTTTATTGTTTACTTATATGAAGGAAGTCAAAAAGCGAAGTAACAAGTGCGGTCCAATATTATTGAAGATAAACAAATACAAAAGCTTATTTGGAAATTTCGTGTCTACAAATATAAAAAACGTGAACAAAGAATCAAATTAATTGTATCAACATTTTAATACCTATATGGCTCCATATCTTAATTTCGACAAATCATTATTACGTTTTGAAAAACGAACAAAAGTAATCTCAGTCTATCGGTCTGTCCTCTAGTGTAGCTATTTGCTCGTTCCAAAGTGTACATTCCTATGGAGAAGAACGAGCACGAAATGCCATTGTTAGGACATACGAAGGTTCTGTCATTGACGATAGAATAGAGGTATATCATTGTGGAAGCCAGTTAAAAAAATGTTCCACTACTTTTGTACTGTTTTCTATATCATAATTACATACATAGTGTAAAACAAAGTCGCTTTCTCTGTCCCTATATCCCTATGTATGCTTAAACATTTAAAACTACGCAACGAATTTTGATGCGATTTTTTTAATAGACAGAGTGATTGAAGTGGAAGGTTTATATGTATAATAACATCCATTAAATAGTGGAGAAATTTAGTATCAGCATTACACCCGTGCGAAGCCGGGGCGGATTTAAGAATATAAAATTATATTGGTCTGTAGAAAAGAAAGATGGGTTAAGAAAAACATCTGGAGTTAAGTAAAATGAATAGATGTTATATTAAGTGACATAATTGTTATTGTAGGAGACGTTAGTCATACGAAGGTCACGCGTGCATCGTCAGGGTTAAGTGATGGCGTGCAAGGTTTGGAATATGATGGGTGAGCGATTTTCTAACGACGTTATGTATTTTGTTGTTGTTTTCAGTGTGTGTGATTGTAGCTTCGAATTGAGTGAAGAAAAGAGCGGCTTTACATATTTTTTAGAGTTAATAAATACTATTTATTTTTTTATTTATTTATTTAAAAAAGGAACACCAATAGCACTACAGTACTATTAATTAAGGGCTGATTTTACAATGGTTAGATAAAAGTTACCCGGGGAAAAATTATGATGCTGTCGCGTCAGAATGTTTGTATAAGACAGTGACAGCAACAATTTTATTCCTCAGATAACATTTAAGTATCTGACTTTTGGAAAATTTAGCTTTAGACGTTTTCTCAAAAACAGTATTATTGAATTATAATTTCGAAAATTGTAACATATCCGGGAATTGAATTTAGAGCCTCGTGTTCAGCATGCGCGCTTAACATAAAGGCCTCGTGGCAGAGAGAGTGAGAAAGCAAGATCTACAAGATTATGAATATATCTTTTTCCTTAAAAAATTGATAATGTATCATAGATAACAAATAAATATCTTTAAAACTTCGTTTCGTATTTATAAAGAAAAATACGAATGCAGTAAAATTTTCAACTAAAAATATCTAGAAATCTAAATTCTTCAAAACAAATATCTCACTTTTAATTACAAAAAAAAATTAATGGATATGTCTTAAACACAATTTAATTTCAAAATGTCTGAACAAAAGAAACCTTTTAATTTTCATTGCTTTGCCAAACTTAAATTGGCACTTAAACTATTTAATTATTTCGAAAAAACTTATTTCTAAAACGAATTTTAACTATACCATTGCGATAAATATATAAACAGATTAATAAAACCAGATAAACTTTACCGAAAAGATCCATTCGTTAAAATAGCCAAATAACAAAAAATCCATTCAAAAACACACTTCTGCACTATTCCGCCATAATACTAAATTCGAAACACAAAAAAAACCCGTACATTTCATCGAACAGACAAAAACCTCCTTTGTCACCAATGCATTCCAGAAAAAAAAACCAACTACACACTAGCGACACACATCACTTCGAAATTTAAACACAGAATTAAAAATGTTTCATCTAATCCGCACGACATGAGCGTAAATAGGGAGTACATTAAAAAATTAAAAGAAAATTCACAATATCGCGGGCTTCGGCTGAGAGTAGAACAATCATACGAAAACGTAAACATACAAGACAATGCTGGCACTAAAGTCAACACTAGATAACAAGTCACTTTGTTACATTACATAAACTTTGTACGTGTTTTGTCACGGAGCGCCGTACGTCCGCTCGGCGCGGCGGCGGGATACTACTGAGTCGCCATGGCCGCTTGCCGCTCACTTAACGGGCAGTGTTGCTATACGCAAACGACATATCACCCATTTAAACTGTGAGTTTCTTTTTTGTTAGTTTCATGTTTTGGTTTTATTATGTTTTAGGATATTTATAACACTGTTAAGAATATTATTGAAGTGAGTATCATCAATATACATAAAAACTACACCACTTTATAAAAAGAACGAGAAAATCTTAAGGATAATTTACAAAACATTAAGTGATAACTTTGTTTTCATGTTTAGCTGTTAATGTTATGCATTAATCCTCATAATAGAACTCAAAGCAGGTAATGTGGCTCTCGAGGGATTTTTAAGCATTAAGTACATTAACTGTCGTCGTTATTATTTAAATTAACAATAAAATGCCCTATTAATACATATGCAACGCCAACGCGCAACTAAACGACAGTACAACTCCATCAAAAGTTCTGAAATTAACTAGATTTCCTAATAAAACTTACGACGTAGTTTACCACACGCATACTCAATCTCCCCAGAACCGGGCAACGAAAGCTCTTGCGGCCCTGGCAACTGGCTACAAAAAGCGACGTTGCCAATTCTCCGCAGGGGCGCGGGACGCGAGCGCGTAACAATAAAATGAGGTTAAAGTTTCCGAACACAACTTTACAACGAGTACTTTTTTCGAAATTCGAACTCGATAAACGGTTTCGTTCTATACTTAAATAATTTAATAATTTCAGTTATTTACGTTGGCTGGTTGTTTTTTTTTTTCTACCAAAAGTTTGTTAAAGAAGTTTCCAAAGTTAAGTAAGTACTAAGTAGTTTAGCTGAATTAGTTAATATTTAGTCTGAAAGTAGTTACAACAATATTGTTTAAGTTACAAACTTTTAAGGCTAAGACATTTGGATATTCAGTGTCTTAAACTTTCTAGGTGTGTCTACGAATATACTGTAAGGACAAAGCTAGTATAAAAACGCCCAAAAATACCTAGCTACAAAATCATACACTGAAGAACTAAGTTTGATTTATGTAAAACACTTTTAACGATATTATTATAAGTAGTAATGGAAGATAAATAATTATTTAAGAAGCGTATTATTGGTGTGTTGTAGTTTCTGTCTAGCAAGACGTCTCAGGCACCAGAGGCGTGAATTTTAAGAAAATTCTCAATAAAAATAAAGGAAAAACGTGTGGAGAGCCAAGCCAAGGTGTAATACCACGGCCTCACAGAAAACCGGCGTGAAACAACCGGAAGCCCAAGCCTTCCTCGATCTAAAAATCTCCAAATCCCGGTAACGCACTCATAACTCGTCCGTTGTTGCGGGTGTCCATGGGCGGCGTTGATTGCTTACCATCAGGTAATCTGCCTGCCCGTTTGCCGACCTATTACATAGAAAAGAAAACATAGTCTTTCCATATAGGAATGGAATGAAACCTAAACATTAATATAGGTAATACATAAAAGATAATAATAAAATACCAATCTATATGTAGATAATATTGATAAGGTTGGAACTACGGGCAATGATTTCGTCAAGGAATCGTCATAACAAATTATGAATCACTGTATGTTTGTTGCTAAGCGTCGAACTCAAGAACGGCTGGAGCGATCATGGTGTAACATTTTTTGCAACAAAAGAAGAGGAAATGAAGTTACGTTGTTGGGATGTTTGTTACTCAATCACGCAAAACCAGCTGGACTGATTGAGATGAAATTTGGCACAGGCATATGATACACTCCGGAATAGAACATAGGCTAAGGTATAACCCTATGAAGTCTGAACAGTTAAAATAAAGTAAAATAAACATAACACAAACTATCGAAATTGTTCTTTTTTCAAAAACTTTTCTTACAAAACAACAAAACAAAAAAAACGTGAGTAAAATCGATATCTACAGACACGGAAACTTAAAAACAAAAAAACAATCACGAGAATATTAAAACAAAAAAATAGATAAAAAATAATAATATAATCCTAGATAATTTCTCTTTAGATTACTGTTGGTAACAATTGTAATTAAACATTTGATTTTAATGAATAATCATCGGGGAATATTATTTTTTTATTAAATTTATGTCAATAATAATAAGCGCCACTCATAGACACTCGCAACGACCGAGGAGCTACGAAAGCGTTGTCGACCTTTTGGGGATTGGGGATTTGGAGATTTTGGGATTGGGGGAGGGGAAGGATTAGGCCTCCGGTAACCTCACTCATACGGTGAAACAAAACGCTGTGGTTTCTTTCATACCGGTTTTCTGTGAAGCCGTGGTATCAATAAGTCGGAGATTACAATAAATTGAGTATCTTTCGCCAAAGACTATCTGAAAATCAGTTTTTAATGATACGTCAGAAATTATAAAAATTAAGATATTTTCCAAGGAAACGTACAACATCAGAAACACGTACTTTTGAAACGTCAAAATAGAATTAGTCTGTCAGTCAAATCTTGAAGCTTGGTACTCGTTACAAATTGTAGATTCGAACGGAGAAGAGCGAGTAACAAACTCCATGGTTACTCTTACAGGGAAGGAGATAATTTTTCGCTGGATTCTCGCTGAAGTCTTGATTACTCTTTATATAGGCGCTCTGGGGGTACTTGGGTGAGGCTTCTGAATTGAAGATAATTCATAGGCCTTACCCAACTACCACAGATAATAAAAAAAAGAAACTGAGTATAAAGTACTCAGTTTCTTCTTTTTTATGTCATCATCATCATCATCACATTATGATCATGAAACACTGCTGAGCAAAGGCCTCTTCTCGCACGGAGAAGGTTTAAGCATTAATAACTTCGTTTGCTCAAGGCGCATTGGCGATTTTAAACTTATAATTAGAAATTATAAGTCCAGGTTTCCTCGCGATGGTTTCCCTTCACCGTATGTTAGTGGTATCTAAATAATCTTAAAACTTTTAATCAATTTTTCGTAAACTATCAAAGAAAAAAGAAAGAACATAGATATTATTTGTAGAAGTGCACTACATCGGCGGGCCATCAAACCATAAATAAGTCGAGTTTATAGTTGTTCCAGAGACAATAAAACCGATGGAATTAGATACTCGTTTAATCTGCTCTTCGGCATTCAGACGGTAAATAAACAAAACGAATATTGTCTTTGGATAGTTTTTCAAAATCTATTATAGTTGATGATTTAACGAGTACTTGTGTCCTTTTAAGTTAATAACTACATTGTATAAAACAAAGTCGCTTTCTCTGTCCCTTTATCCCTATGTATGCTTAAACCTTTAAAACTACGCAACGGATTTTGATGCTGTTTATTTAATAGGATAGAGTGATTGAAGAAGAAGGTTTATATGTATAATGACATCCATTTAATAGCGGAGAAATTTAGTATCAGCTTTGCACTCGTGCGTAGCCAAGTCAAGCAACGATTTACAGAAAAAGGTGCAAGTACTAGAAAAAGTTCCATATTATAAGTATCAATCCACTTAAATTCTAGACTAAAAATGTTAACACACTAAACGTTTCATTAAGGATAAGAACAAACACTTCGAATTGGCATTCCCAATTATTACACGCTAGTTAAAAACAAATCATTTCTCAGACACCCTATACATATAATATTACGTCACTGTAATAAGTATGTATTTGTTATTAACCTATATGTCCTGTGCTTCTGACAGATGTGTGATGAAGGCAGCCAACCTGCCACTACCACATCACATACAGGACTTAATATTACTCTTTTTATTATTTTGTCACGGATTTTTTGTAATACGTAACCTCTCTTTCTCAGTAATGTCGCAACCTGTATAATCCTTGTTGACTGGACAATCTCTGCACTACATGAGCTGCTGTTTACATGTGAACATTAGCTCATGACGATACCTAAGTACGTGTGTCGCGTGGACAGTCTACGCTACATCCTTGTTGACTGGACAATCTCTGCACTACATGAGCTGCTGTTTACATGTGAACATTAGCTCATGACGATACCTAAGTACGTGTGTCGCGTGGACAGTCTACGCTACATCCTTGTTGACTGGACAATCTCTGCACTACATGAGCTGCTGTTTACATGTGAACATTAGCTCATGACGATACCTAAGTACGTGTGTCGCCTGGACAGTCTACGCTACATCCTTGTTGACTGGACAATCTCTGCACTACATGAGCTGCTGTTTACATGTGAACATTAGCTCATGACGATACCTAAGTACGTGTGTCGCCTGGACAGTCTACGCTACATCCTTGTTGACTGGACAATCTCTGCACTACATGAGCTGCTGTTTACATGTGAACATTAGCTCATGACGATACCTAAGTACGTGTGTCGCCTGGACAGTCTACTCTACATCCTTGTTGACTGGACAATCTCTGCACTACATGAGCTGCTGTTTACATGTGAACATTAGCTCATGACGATACCTAAGTACGTGTGTCGCCTGGACAGTCTACGCTACATCCTTGTTGACTGGACAATCTCTGCACTACATGAGCTGCTGTTTACATGTGAACATTAGCTCATGACGATACCTAAGTACGTGTGTCGCCTGGACAGTCTACTCTACATCCTTGTTGACTGGACAATCTCTGCACTACATGAGCTGCTGTTTACATGTGAACATTAGCTCATGACGATACCTAAGTACGTGTGTCGCCTGGACAGTCTACGCTACATCCTTGTTGACTGGACAATCTCTGCACTACATGAGCTGCTGTTTACATGTGAACATTAGCTCATGACGATACCTAAGTACGTGTGTCGCCTGGACAGTCTACGCTACATCCTTGTTGACTGGACAATCTCTGCACTACATGAGTTGCTGTTTACATGTGGACATTAGCTCATGACGATACCTAAGTACGTGTGTCGCCTGGACAGTCTACGCTACATCCTTGTTGACTGGACAATCTCTGCACTACATGAGTTGCTGTTTACATGTGAACATTAGCTCATGACGATACCTAAGTACGTGTGTCGCCTGGACAGTCTACGCTACATCCTTGTTGACTGGACAATCTCTGCACTACATGAGTTGC